TATTATGCCATTCACCTTGCTCGCTTAGTAGAGCACGGACATGTGGGTTGCGGTTGTTGGAAAGGATTCTAACCACGAAACGGCGCGATGAAGCGATCGTCAGAAGGCCCCGATTTCCTTATCACCCACGCGAGTTGCCGACTAGTCGAGCTCTCGTACAGTGCGAGAAAATTCAAACCCCAAAACAAATACTTTGACGACGAGTATTAGAACCCCCGATTCACAGTTCAAACGTTGCAGCGATACCAAAGAGCCAGGAGGCTGGTCTGGAAACGTGAGGTGAGATGGTGTCGTGATGGAACCGGTTCTTCTCCTGCTCAAGCTACTGCGCTGACTCGTGCCTTGAGGCTAGCTGGCCCGGCCACTCACACTGTGGCGTCGTAGCCGCGCCGGTAGAGAGTCGGCCCCGTGCGGCACAAGCCAGGGGTTCGAATCTCCGATCCCAGCTACATTTTTCTGAGACGGTCGAACTCTTGGAGTAGAACTTAAACCCGTCATTTCAACGGGGCACCTTCGTGGATGAACGAACGGTCTGGTGGTTAACGCTGTCCCACTGGACCGGGGGTGACGATGACTCGGCACTGGGGTCCCATTAGGGGCAAAGGTTCGACCCTCGGCGAAAGCGTGCCGAGTAAGGGCCATCCCAGCCACAGCGGGAGTGGTAACCCGTGTGGAATTGATAAGTCCTTAGAATCTGGCTCATTGAAGGGATTCCACGACTCGGAAGCTTTCCGCTCGGATCGCATCTGGGTGCAGTACAGGCTAACCACCGTACGCCCGTCTCCTCTCTTTCTAACTCCCTCCGCCCTACCCCCCATTCCCGGTCAAGCGGACTGGTGGGAACCTAGTCGATGGCTGTAAACTCCGGTGTGAGCGAGATAGTCAAGAAACCCGGCCCTCCGCTGGGTGCCTGAAAACACCGGATCCCATACCGAACTCCGAAGTTAAACAGGCGGGTCCCCGTGTCAAAGCGGGGTGGGTAGGGCCCACATTTTTTTTTCAGTTTTGATTATTTTGCAGGTAAAGTGAATCCGGCTCTAAGAGGTATTTTAACTACCGGTTGCACGGAGGTGATTCACGTCACGCAGGCGTGCGTGTTGCCTACCTGCAATGCCCGTTAGGCGCTACGGCCCCCTGAGGTCGGACAATCTAGCTGCACCGGCCGGAACAAGTATAACATGGTCCTGACCGCCCAGGCTACGCCAGTGATAGCGCCTGCGACGAGCTGGGTAGGCCAGCCCGCCGGGCAACTGTGTGGAGCCGGCGGCCCACCCTGAGCGCCCCGGTGCAAGAGCAGGGAGCGCGGGGAAGTACCGTCTGTAAGTCTCAAAACCTTCCTTCTCGTCCATTCGAGGGAACTTTTGTGGCAGTACCCGAGACCTCGATCAGCTGCACGACACTCCTATACAGTAGCGTGCAGTACTGTAGTACAACGCTGCTGCTGAGAGCTGTGACTCGACTGATAGTAAAAGTAACAACTAACTTGAAAAAAACAAAACAGCAAACAAATTTGGCATGACATCAGACCATTTGCAAATGTTTGTGTCGTCTGCCGTAGTGTATGCGTTTTGTGTGTCATAGGGGGCAGGGACGAGGGTGGGGTCAACGCACGCCAGTATGAATCAGCGCGAGAATCGACACAAGTGTGATTGGCTTTATCCCGACAGAAAAAGACAAAAATTATGTCCTCCGACCTCTCTCCCTCCCTCGACCCCCCCCCTCCCCAATCTCTCTCACTCTCTCTCTCTCGCTCCCCCAAGAGGACCCTGGTGCTTTATACAGCGATGGGTCGGGTGCGCGGGCCAGTTGAACGCCATGCTGCTCCGCGCTGCGACCAGTGAGGGTGGGCAGCGGGTGCTCTGCGTCGCAGCGGTGTTCGTCCTCATGACGGTGAGTATAAGTGGTACTGGGAACTGGGGCGCCGAACACTCACGAAGATGCCACCATCTACCTCAACAGTATTTGGGTTCGAGAATGGTGTCCGTGGCCCGATTATTGGTTTGGTTCACAACATAGAGCGGGGTTCCACGGCCTTTTCCACCCGCGGCGAATAGCCTTGAAAGCATATTTAAATGAGGAGTGAAGGGAAGGAAGTAATCATCTACGGCGTTCCTAGTACTGCTACGAACTTCCTAGACAGTAAATTGATTTTTCAATCAGGGTTTCTTCTCGACGACACTGAGATTGCTGATTTGGGGCTCTTCCTCTCCGTTGCCGTTTGCTCCGTAAGAAATCATAAGTTGCTTGTGTGTGCCCCTTGATTTCGACAAATCACGCGCCGTGGTGGGTCCGCCCCGCCGCCCGCCCCTCGTCTCGCCGACCAGGAGTGGCCGGCCCGGGGGGCCGGGGGGTGGTGTGGTGGGCCACGGCGTAGCGTATGGCACGGCGTGGCGTCGCGTGACACGGCGCGCCGCCGTATTTTGGTTGAAGCTGATGCGTTTCGCCTTGGCCTTGTAGCTGCCCCCCGGGCTCGAGGGGTGCTGCTGCCGCGACCCCCACCGCCGCGGCAGCGACAGCAGCGACCACCACGACTCGAGCGCCGCGTCCAGCGAGGAGGACGCCCTGGCCAGCGAGGACGCCAGGATCCAGCGCTGCGTGAGGACGGCGGCGCCGGGGGTCCTCGCCGCGGGCGGCTACGAGAACCTCGCCAAGGTGAGACGAGACCAAGGTCACGTGACAGCAGGCTGACCACAACAGCTCGACCACAAACGTACACAAGGGTCGTGCACCGAAAGCGGAATAATAATTTTGCCCCATGTCAGCAGCAGACATTTTAATTATGCGTACATTTAACACGACCTCAAAGTGAAATGACGCATACGACGGCCAAGCGGCCAGGCTGGACGGCCTAGAGCTGGGACTTGGCCTCGGGGACCCCGCCGCTGCCCCGGCGCGGCCGGGGAGCCCGGCTCGCGACATGCCAATTCCTCCTCCTTTGTGTTTCAAGGTTGATGCCTGCGCCGCCAGGGGCACGGACGCTCTGGCGGGGGGCGCGGCGCCGCCGGCCGCGGCCGACGCGGTGGCGGCCTGCATCGACGGCCAGGGCCTCCCGCCCTCCGTGGCGCCCGTCGCCGCCGACTTCGTGGACTGCGTACGGCGCGCCCTCACGTGACCCGGGCAAGAGCGGAGTTTGGCGCAGAGATTTGTTCGCGGGGTGAAGGAGAGTTTTCTCATTAAATTATGGAGTGGAAATCGTTTGACTGCTTTAGTAGCTGTTATTACCACCTTTGTCGTCCTCGCTCCGACGGGTTATCATACCCGTCCATATACAACGCTCTGTCTCTCTCGCGCACCTCCAGGGACGTGCGCAGGTGGGCGTGCGAGCCCCCTCGCTTTCTCTCTCACTCTCTGCTCATTGCTCATTATTTCTCACGCCGTTCACAAAACTTTCCCGAAAGATATGGACTTCTTGTGCAAACAGAAAAGTTTTCTTCGGAGGCAATAATCTCGACCTCATCGGAGGGAAAGACCCAGCCGCTCCCCTACCGCG